CCGCAGGGGGCCCCCAGGGGGCCCCCGAAGGGCCCCTGGGGGCCCCAAAAGGGACTGAGGGTCGCAGCTAAATAAATGTGTCTACGGGATATTTGTTTTGAAATATTTTTTCGAAGTTTGCACATAAACTAATTATAAATAAATAAATAAATAAAATAAATAAATGAAATAAATAAATAAATGAACAAATAAATGGATAAGTGAATTAAATTAATAAACTTAGATATATATGTGGGGGGGCATTAGACTTGTAATTAGTACAAAATATAAAAATTAAATAAATAGTATTTAATATATATCAAACAAAAAGATTAAAATTATTTATATTTTAATAAAATTAATTCATACGAATAATTCTGTTGCTGTTGCAATTGCCTTTTTGCTGCTTCTAGTTTTGTCTGTCTTGCTGCTGTTGCAGTTATCCTTTTTGCTGCTCCTACTTTTATCCTTTTTGCTGCTGCGGCTGCAAATATCCTTTTGGCTACTGCTGCAATATCCTTTTTGCTGCTGCTGCAGTTATCCTTTTTGCTGCTGCTGCACTTACCCTTTTTGCTGCTGCTGCCTTTTTGCTGCTTTTTGTCCTTACTGAACAGAAGCAATTTTTAAAAAGGCGTTTCTGGAAACAAAAAAGAAATAACTTGCAGCTTTTTAGAGCAGCAGCAGCAGCTGTTGCTGCTGCAGCAGCAGCCGCAACAGCAGCAGCAAATGCCTCTCCTTGAAGGGCTTCTGCTGCTGCTTTTGTCTGCTTTTCACTTAAAGTTGAATTCATTTTTTCTTTTTGTCATTTGTAATTGAGTCCTTTTTTTTCATTTTGTTTCTATCTTTCTGGATTCTTTCTTCAATCACTTTCTGTTTTTTATCTTTTTTAATTTATTTATTTCCATCTAAATTTTATTTCATTTCTTTTGTCTTTCCCTCTTTTTCCATTTCTGGAGTCTTTTTTCTTCAGCTGTAGCTGCTGCTGCTTCTCTCTTTAAGGTGCTGCTGCCTTTGCTGCGCCGCGGGGCGCTTATTGCCCCTCTTGCTGCTGCCGTTGCTGTTGCTGCTGTCGCTGTTGCTGTTGATACTGCTGCTGTTGTTGCTGTTGCCGCTGTTGTTGCTGTTGCTGCAGCCGTTGCTGCTGCTGCCGCTGCTGCTGCTGCTGCTGCTGCTGACGCTTCGCCCGGAAGAGCTGCAGCAAAGAAGAGGGCCGCAGACAGCCCAGCAGATGCGCCTCCCGGAAAGTGTGGGGTTTTTGGCGCTGCAAATTTTCGATTTCTTCCAAACACAAAAAAGGATAAAGTTCTCTGCAGCAGCAAAAGAAGCAAAACAAAAGACCCAATGCATGCATGCATGCAGCAGCAAACGAAACACAAACTAACATCATGCAGCTGCATGCAGCAGCAAACGAAACACAAGCCCCAGTCCCTGACTCCCTAGACACCTCAAGCTGCCTATACACCTCAAGTTGCCTATACACCTCAAGTTGTCTATACACCTCAAGTTGTCTATACACCTCAAGCTGTCAATACACCTCAAGCTGGCTATACACCGTAAACAAGAATGATCCAAGCTCCCTATACACCCCAGAAACGGGCAAATTGCATTTTCCTGATAAGTTAAAAATGTCTAAAAATGTTTAAATCTGATTAACTGCAACAAAAAGTCCGCATTTGTTTAGCTGCAAGTATTTAGACAAAACTCCCTATACAACTAAGCAGCAGTAACACTTTTGGAGCTGCCTATACACCTCACGCACTGTACAGACACCCCAACGCGCATCCAGCACACGGAGGACAGAAAGAGCCAAAAGAGAAGAACCACCAAAACGAAAAAGATTTTAAAATAAGATTCGAAAAGGGAAAGAAATCATCAAAACGAAAAAGATTTAAATTAAAACTCAAGAAGACAAAAGAATCATTAAAAGGAAAAAGCCTTCTTAAGAAAACCCAAAAAAAGAACATCAAAAGAAAAGCTTCCTTAGCTGTGCTCTAGAGAGAACAGCAGCTGGGGAGCACCTGGGGAGGGAAAAGCAGCAGCAGCAGCAGCAGCAGCAG